CTTTCCCAGTCCTGCCCTACAGCTGCTAGCACTGGGCCGGGAAGCCCATCGGGAAAGTGCTGGCCCAGCAAAGGGCAGCTCTCGGATTGGTGCTTGCTCTGTGTCTGTCTGAATCTGGGCATTGCCCTAGAAGTCCTGGGTAGCCCCTGTCCCCTTTGTGGCAGCATCCAATCTCAGTGAGGATCAGGTCAGAACCTCGGGACCACCAGCCTCCTGTGCTTCAGGCTTCCTTAGAGCTGCCTCCTCCAACACCAGCCTGTAGAACTAGTTAGCTATGTTATTGTGGCTGTGAGGATGAGCCCTTCACCTGATCAAATAACCACGGGGAGATAAGCCTCTTGTTGCCTGTAGTGGCTCCTGGACATGTTTGAGATCTTTTCACAACAAAAAGAGCCCCCCAGGGACTTCCTTGGTGGTCCAGTGGTTGAGGATCTGCCTTCCAGTGGAGGGGACACAGGTTTGATCCCTGTCGGAGAACTGTTAATAGAATCACGCATGCTGAGGAGAAACTGGATCCATGTGCCACAATTAGAGAAAAACACATGTGCCACAACTAACATCCGATGCAGCCAAATAAGTAAATAAATATTTAGAGGAAAATAGCCCCCCCCATCCTAAAGGGGACCCAGAATTTCCCAAAATGGAAACCCAAAATGGAAACCCAAAATGGACCTTTTCCAATTAAGAAAAAAAAAAAACTGGAGTCAGCTAGGAGAAATAAATATTGGTGCCATTGGGCTCTCAGCTTCATCCTGAGAGACAGAAAACAGAATAGGAATGAGCACAAGCCTGGGGGAGCAGGGCTGGGCTCGGCCCCTCTCCGTCCTGTGACCCGGAGCAAGCTGCTGTGCCCCAAAGGCGAGGAGGCTGGAGGAGCCGGCTTTGCAGCCCTTCCCACACCGCCCTTCTGTGTTCTGAGGACAGAGAGATGTCCACTCCTTCCTAATTGCTCTGGGGGAAGTGGAGGCGGAGAGGCCGCCTGGCGGCCCCAGGACTCTAAGAGGCAGTTCCTGCTGCCTCCACTAGACCGCGCTATGGAGTCGCTCGCCAAGTTCCCCATCATCTAGACCTGGGGTGGCGGTGGGGCAGGCGGTCTCGCCTTCCTCAGAGTAAATGGCCCAGGTGCCAGGGCCTGTGGACGAGGCACTGGTCAGCAGCTGGGCTCAAGGTGTTGGCTCCACTTTTCCCAGTGGGGTGTGACGGGGTTGAGGGGTGCACATCAGAGGAGAGTGGGCTCCATGTGGGCCTCTGGGATGGCTACGGAGGGTGGGGCAGCCTCAAAGCCCACTGCTTGACTTCCTCCCCTTCCACTTCTGAGCCTGCTCTCTGTCAGGCGGCCCCCTGTTGCAGCTTTAAGTCAAGCAAACCTGATTCCCTCCAAAGAGTAATGGCAGCCCCTACAGAGCAGAAGCTAGCCCCACCACAGCCAGGTCTAAGAAATCTCACATTTCTATATTGCTCGAAAGCAGACCTTCATAGGGAGTGGAAACTAATCCGGCACCACCTCCGGGCCAGCAATGTCCCAGGAATCTTCACACAGTCCTCGCCCATGACTGCGGATATGTTTTGCTCTCTGTCCTCCTGATGTGGACCACTCCCCCGACTCCATGCCAATTGAGCCGGTTGCCCAGCTGGGAACACAGGTCTTCACAGTCCAGCCTCCCCAGGGGTGTCACCCAGCACCTCCCCACCAGGGCCCTGTCACTTTTAGGGCCATAAAACCACCTCTTCTCAATCTCCAAGGAAGAGCCTCGAAACCTTCCTCCTCCCTGAATCGTCCCCTCATACCTCCAAAACTCTGTCACTCACCTCCAGAATGGCCCACCCTCACCCAGAGATCACCCCAGATCAACCCTTTTTAGAGCAACACTCAAGTAAAAAGACATCCTGGAGTTTATGGCCTCTCTTTCGTGAGGTGACGATGAGGTCAAAGAAACCAACATTACTTCATTCCTTTTCCTAATAACTCACGCTCTTACACTTCCATTTTATAGAGCCCCAACTATGTGCCAACCACGATGCTAAACTCGTTCCTGCATGAGATCATTTAATCCTACATGGACTTAACACAGTGAGGGTTTTCATTCCCCATTTTGCAAGAAAGGATCTTGCCCAGATTCTAGTCATTGCAGGAGCTGCAACTCCAACTCAGGATGTCTGATTCTAGCCATGGCTTTTAGCTCTCTTGCCTTCAAAGACTGCCTTTAACCCAAGTCCCACCCTGACTCCCTCTTGAAGCTTCATTCATGCAGCCAAATGAATGAGCTGTTGAAATTGACACAGTGACTAGTTAACTTTTTCCTACCTTGGGGCAATGAGCCCTACCCATCTCTGGAATCTCCACTACTCACTCAGGCAAGGTCCTCCCCTTCCTCCTTCTTCTCCAGCCCTCCAAAAAGAGAGTCAATCTCCAAAAAGACAATCCCCCTCAGAGGAGGCTCCTGCAACCCTGCCTCTTGAAGCACATTCAGTCATTCGATTCCCAAGAAAACTCTAAGAAGCAGAGTTCACCATGCTTCTTGGAGCATGGAGCTAATTCAGAAGAGACCCAGGGTTCGAAATCAGTCCATCTGTTCCCAAAGCCTCTAAAAATACCCTCATTATGGAAAAGAGCCACCATGCACAAGTTCACACAGCCGTGCTCTGAGCTGGCAAGGTGCCGGGCACTGTGGTAAAGGTCTGACATGTGAATTTTCACAACAAAGTCCTGAGGTAGGTACTCTCATTGTGCCCAACTTACTGATGTGAAAACTGAAGCTTGGAGACACTAATCCACTTGTTGTTTATCAACTAAAGGCAGGCAGGATGAAGACCCAGCTCTGGAGGCCAGAACAGGTGGAATGGAGGGAGACAAAACTCTCAGTAAAACATGAGAGTTACTGGGTCCATGGACCTCCACTGATGAGCTTTAGGGGAACTGTGAATCTCATAAATTATATGCAAATGTATGTATGCTTACTGGGGGTGGGAAGAGATCTATAGTTTTCAATATACACTCAAAGAAATCCCTAAAGACCAAAATGTTAAGAATCCCTAACCTAGCATAGTGCCTGCCATGCAAAAGTCACTCAGTAATATCTGTTGAATTAATGAATAAGTAAATGGAGGGGTGAGTAAATGAATAAATGTTCCAGGAGACGCCACATATGACCTGGTACACACATTATCTTCTGTGGTGGTGAAAGCAGTCCTGGGACCTGAGCCCAATCTGCCCCCAAGTTCTTTCTCCCAGTCCCAGAGGCCACAGCCAGGTGCTCTGAGAGCTCCCAAGAGATGCCTCCCCCGCATTCTCCCCACCTCCACTCCTGACAATGATCAGGCAGAGACAGGAGTTGTGCAACTCAGATAATGAAGCTTTATTGATTGCTGGAAGGGCAAGGGTGAAACAGGGCTCACGAGTCAAGTGCTTGGGGGAGGAGGGGACAGGAGAAGGGATCCCCCAGGGAAATCTGTGTCCACTTGGGGGGCTTTCTAGGCGTGAGCAGTGCAGAAAAGCCTTAGTTCTTGGTGCGAACGATCTGCTCATGTGTGGACACCACCTTGCCGTCGTGCACGTCCACAACTTTGGTGCGAACCTGGCGACTGGAGGATACTAGGGAAGAGAGAAGAGAGAGAGTTACTAGTGGTGGGTGGTAATAGAGAAATCAGGAGCACAGAGGCCAAGGAGCCCAGGGCACTTAAATGAACCATCTCCCTACCGCCCTGTCCCCTGATTACCACCTCACCCACTGCTCTTGCCCTGGCACTGATATTATCAACACTTTTCTTTTAGACTAGAGCTCCCTAAGGTCAGGGAGTCTGTGTCCTCAGACTGGAGTGTCCTAATAACTGAGATCAAAATGGTTCTGTCCAGATCCACCCAAATGGACCGGCCTTGGTAGGAAGACCATGTAGGGCTCTGTCCATGGTGCTAACTATGGGACCCTAGCTCAACTCCTCCAGAAGCCCCTATCTAACATCGTAGACCTGCTGGGAGACAGGCATTGGTCCTGAGTTCAGACTGGATGAGGAGGAAGGCCTTACCATCTCTGGATGACTGAGAGCCAGAGGAGAACTGGGAAGAGGAGAGGCTGTGAAGACAGAAAAGGGCGAAGATCATTAGACACCGCGGTGGAGGAGTGAGTGATCACTGGGGGACAGGACAGGAGTTCCAGGCACTCACTGGGCGTCCTCGCCCTCCAGCAGGCGGCGGTAGGTGGCGATCTCCTGCTCCAGCCGGGTCTTCACGTCCAGCAGGATCTTGTACTCCTGGTTCTGCTGCTCCATCTCGCAGCGCAGCTGGGCCAGCTGCTCTTCCACGCTGCCGATCATCTCCTGGATCTGGGACAGCTGCATGCAGTAGCGGCCTTTGGTCTCCTCCAGGCTGTTCTCCAGAGATGCTTTCTGTGAGGGAAGGAAAGAAGATCAGAAATCAGGGAGGGTGGTCATTCCCTCCCAGCGAGACCCTGCGCCCATACCCCCAGGCCCGGCCAAGCCCCTACCATGCTGAGCTGGGACTGCAGCTCGATCTCCAGGTTTTGCAAGGTGCGCCGGAGCTCCGAGATCTCGCTCTTGCCGCTCTGCACCAGCTCGCTGTTGGTAGCCACCTCGCGGTTCAGTTCCTCTGTCTGCAGAAAAGAAGGCACCGTTTTCACGGGAAGTTCGGGAAAAGGTGTTCCTGGGTCCCTTCCACTCCAAATGCTGCCCACCTTGCTGAAGAACCAGTCCTCGGCATCCTTGCGGTTCTTCTCCGCCATCTTCTCGTACTGGTCGCGCATCTCGTTCAGGATTCGGCTCAGGTCCACGCCGGGGGCGGCGTCCATCTCCACGTTGACGTCTCCGCCCACCTGGCCTCGCAGGGAGTTCATTTCCTACACAACCGATGAACAATCCGTTATGGAGGCCGATTAGAATTCCCCAGTCGGAGGTGTTTCTGGACTGAACGTTGTCTTCAGCCATCTGAATTGCATCTCTTCCCTCCCAGCTAACCCTCAAAGCAGGCTTTTCCATTTAGCTCTCACCTCCTCATGGTTCTTCCGGAGGTAGGCCAGCTCCTCCTTGAGGCTCTCGATCTGCATCTCCAGGTCGGCCCTGGCCAGGGTCAGCTCATCCAGCACCCTGCGAAGGCCGTTGATGTCGGCCTCCACGCTCAAGCGCAGGTTCAGCTCCGTCTCATACCTGGAATGACCCAAGAGAAATGAGACACCCACCCCAGCCACACTAGTGGCTTTGTTCTCTTCCTCCTTCTGTCCATAGCTGGCCTTCTTGGGTGGTTTATGGAGCCAGTCTTGATTGGCATGGATAGACATAATGCCCATTATTCCTCAGATATGAACATCTGGGGAGGGGGACAATGACAGGAATAAGACAGTTCATTGTGCTGTAGAATTCATGGAGGGGAGGTGCCATATTTGGAAGCCTCCAAATATGACTACCTCTTGCATTTCAGGGGCAAGTTGGGAAGTGGGGAGTGCCTCTCCCTAAAGCAGTGGCTCCCTAATCTGACTGTGGATCAGAATCACCCAGGTAGCCTATTAAAAATAACTGAATCAGAATCCCAAGGGTGGGGCCCAAGAGTCTTGTATTTTTACAAGCGCCCCAAGGGGTTTGCACACAGCCATCCTGACACTGGAACACTCTGTTCAGGGAACACTGCTCCCAAAATGCCCCACCCAGGGGAGACCGGGTGCTCTGAACCACCACCGCAAACTCACTTGGTGCGGAAGTCATCAGCAGCCAGACGGGCATTGTCAATCTGCAGCACAACATTAGCATTGTCCACAGTGGCTGCGAGGATCTGCGGATGGAAAGGGCACAGGTCACTGGTGGAAAGGATAGTGCTAGCTAGACCTGACTTCAGCCTGCATCAGGCCTTTACCTTCATACTTTTCTTGAATCCACACTACTCCTCACAAGGCTTTGCCATGGCAGCCTAAAGGATAATCCCCATTGGTCCAGCCTTGACCCAGGACTTTGCTGGCTCATGGTCATCAGAATGGATAGAAAGAGGCTTGGCTTTAAAATAAATAGCCCTTGAGTTTGGGTCCTGCTTCTACCACTGACTTGTTGCAAAACCTGAGATGGGTCTCAGAGCCTCAAGTTCCCTGCCACTGAGGAGAATGACCAGGCTCTCCAGACCCCCTTCCTGACCTGAATTCTCCTCTCTCTGCAGGCCTACCAGGACTCTGTAGGCACATGCACTCCCTCTCAAGCCCTCGGAGCACAGGATCTTAAGTGGGGCTTTCCCACAAACTGAGATCCACCTGGCACAGAGGATTCAAAACAGAAGAAGCAAATGGGGGTTGGGGGAGGGTCGCTGGGGATAGACTGAACTCTGGATTGGCTAGAGTTCCCTCCCTCATCATCTGATTTCCCTAATCCCCTCAAAGCTTCAGAGCCAGACACCAAGATCAGCAGACTCCTGGGGTGATATGGGAGCAAGGAACAAGAGTCAGATGACACAAGTCCCCCCAGCTCCCCTCCTGTGTGGGGCACGTGAGGTGGGCCACCACTGATTGTCTCTGTGGGTTTTCCATGCCCTATTGGCTGTGGGGAGGGGCTGCCTGTGCCAAGACTCATGGAGGCAGCCGCCACAGCCCAGACTAATGAGCTAATGAGCGGTTTGGATGTCTAGCCTGGTCCCGTTACAGCCTCACTCCTCCCCTGGGCTGGAGAACAGATTGCTGCCTCCCAAGCTGGCAGGGGGGCACAAGGGCTCTAGCCTTGGCTCTGCCATTAATTTGCTATGTGACCTTGGGCAGACAGCCCAAAGCTTCAACTTCTTCTCCTGTAACTTGTAAGGGTAGGAACCCCTGGTGTCTCATGGGTCTCGAGTCCAGAGAGGTATGAGCCAGGTGGGGAAAGGGAGACCATCTTCTCATAGACCAGCTCTGCTGGGGGCATCTAGAGCCAGAAGGGGCTGGAGGCTAGCCTGTCTAAGAATTCAAAGCAATCAATGCTCTGAGCCTCCATTGCTCCTGAGTGAGGTGGCTAGAACGGCACCTCCCGCCGCCTGGCCCACACACCTTGTTCCTCAGGTCCTCGATGGTCTTGAAGTAGGGGCTGTAGTCCTTGGTCTCAGCGGGCCGCTGCCTCTGGTACCAGTCACGGATCTTCACCTCCAGGTCAGCGTTGGCCTCTTCCAGGGCACGCACCTTGTCCAGGTAGGAGGCCAGGCGGTCATTCAGGTTCTGCATGGTCACCTTCTCACTGCCTGCCAGGAGCCCATCACCACCGCCAAAGCCACCTCCAAAACCACCACCCACGCCACCACCGAAGCCACTACCGAAGCCACTGCCAAAGCCAGCACCAAGGCCACCGCCGTATCCTCCACCGAAGCCGCTGCCCAGCGCCCCGCCAAAGCTGCTGCTGCTGCTGAAACCACCGCCGTAGCCGCCCCCCAGCCCGCAGGCACCCCCAGAGGAGTAGCGGGAGGAGGTGACGGACAGGCCTCCATAGGCGCTGGGGGCCCGGCAAGAGCCTCCAGCCAGGACGGAGGACATGCGGCTAGAGCCACCACCGATGCCCCCGGAGCTCTTGATGGAGCTGGAGGAGGTGTACTGGCGGCTGCAGGTGGTCATGGTGCCAAGGAGAGAGATGAATGAGCAAGTGAGCGAGTCGGCAGCGAAGAGAAAGGTGCTGAGGGGAGTTAGAAGGATGCCTGGTTTTATACTCCTGGGTAGGGGCGGGCCTGGCATTTTCCATTCCCCTTGGCTTTCATCACCCAGAGGCCAGTGCCAACTCCCAGGCAGATCCCTCCTCTCTTCCACCTCATCATGTCTGTCATATTTTACTGGAAACTCATTGTTCAGGGTGTTTGGGGTTTCTTGTCCCGCCAGGTGTGATTCACAGGAGGAGGTGTGGGCCTGCAGGCTACACTTTCCCTTCGGACCCCGGGAGCATGCGTGCTGGGCTCAGCAAGACGGTAGGAGTGGGGCCTGTGTGCACCATATGCCTGGTGACTTAGTTCCTCATTAACTCAGTGGGCCTCTGCCGTCCACCTGGGGGAAGCCCACCACTGCAGGTGGCACCTGGCTGGAGGAACAGCAGCATGGCAAAGTCACAGGGGGCACAGAGATGCCACTCAGCATTACCATCTATAAAATGAGACGAGGCTTTGGGACCCTCCCAGGTCTGACCTTCTGGGCTGTGCCAAGGGGCCTGTCACACTCCTGAAACGTGCCCTACCAGTAGTCAAGCAGCTCAGACTTCCACCCCAATACCCCAGGTAAAGAGAAATCCAGGCAGCTCTCCTCAGCCCCGGGCACAGACCCTAAGGTCCTCCACACACCTGTGGATATGCCCATGGCATTGGCTGCTTAGTCTGGCTGAGGGCAGGTGGGGGTCACGGAAGACTTCGGGAAAGAGCATGGAGTCAGGTGAGTCCTGACTCTGCTGTTTACTCCTGTGTGACTTAGGCCCTGACGCTCCTCCAAGTCTCGGTTTGCTCATCTGTAAAGTGGGCGTAAATACCACCTGCTCAGTCTGGCCACTGACTCTCGGTGGCCACTCTGCCTACTGCAGAGTCAGCTCTGAGAAGACAATGTGACAATGGATTTTTCCATTTTCAGAGGGTTTTGTAAGTCAAGTGGGGCACAGAATCTGGGTAGCATTGTTGTAGCCCAGTCTGGGCCCCAGAAGGAGTGGAGCAGCACCCCTGGAACAGAAATGGGGACACCACGGCACTCAGACTGCCAGGGAAGCCCCATGGAAGGGTCTGGCTCAGGCACCATTGTCTGAGCCCCTTGTAGGGTTTTGATGTGTAAAGAAGCACAGGCATCAGAAAGTGGAGTCAAGGGTCCCCAGCTACTGAGGCCCCAAGGGTCAGGAGACTTTTCCAGGGGTCCATCAAGCTCTGCCTCATATGTCTGTATATCGGGATCTCAGCCATCTCCTAGACAACCTCCAAAGGCACCCCTACAGCCTCACCCTGCCCTCCCACCGCCCCTCGGTCCCACAGACCCCGGCAGGCATGTTGGGAGGAATGCGGTCATGTCTGAGGCTGCCTGACACGTCCCATCTTCCCGGACAGGCCCCAACAACCCCTGCTGGAGGCTCCAGGACTCCTCCTGGATCAACTGCTCCTGGAATAGAAGCAGAGCCTCCCTCTGCCCCCTCCCCAACCACCACCAAAGCAGAAGTCGGGGAGCCGCCCTCCCCACCCCCACCTGCCGCCACTGGGGCTTAGAAGACAATGCTGAGACAGACACTTGAGGCTGTGGGCTCCCCAAATCTGCCATGCTGAGGACGCTCGAGGATGTGAGTAAGCGAGGGCCCTGCCCCACCCCAACCTCCCCTGACAGACACTGCTAATCTTCCAGAGAATGGTCCCCCACCCCGGCCCAGCCCTACAATTTCCTCAGTGAGAGGCAGCAGGGATTTGGACTGAAGGAGGAGATCCCTTTGTTAGAAGATGTTGCTGTTGGCTGTGTGGTGGAGGGGTGGGAGTGCTCTCCAGAGAAACGTGAAACATTCGGAGGGACCCAGGGAGCACCAGTGGGTGCAGAGCCCAGCACCCGCTTCCTCTGTGGTGCCCACCACCCTGTCTCTCTCCACCGCCGGGAACCACGGACAGAATCCCTGGAGCACGGGACGCAGGAAGAGCTCTTCTTCCCTCTCACTTGATTCAGTGGAACCCACAAGAGGCTCCCTCCTTGCCCCTCGCTAAAGGGGAATCCAAAAGACAAAGAAGGTGGGGAACCCATGACGCGTACGTTCACACATGCAATCCAGGAAGAGATCTTTGCCAGCCCGCTCCCAACCTCCAGGGACCCTGAAATCCCAGCATCAGAAACAGTTCTGACCATCTCCCCGACCCTGGATCAGATCCTAAGGCCACCCCCCTGCCCCCTGGAGACAGGGATCTAGGTGCAAATAGCCCAGCCTGGTGTTCCTGACATTTTGAAGAGGGGCAGCTTTCTGGAGCAGCAGGGGTTAATGTGATGGGTTAGGGGGAGGCATCATCTGTTGGAACTGGAGTACCCCCCACCTCTGGACTCCCAGGCCGGTTTTCTGTGGCATGTGGCCATTACCTGACCCTCCTCCAGCTTCTTCTTCTTCCAAGGGGAAGAAGAGGTGGCGGTAAAGGAGGGCGGTGCCTCTTGCGGTTGGTGAGTCTCCCAGCACCAGCCTGCTGAGGGGAGACCGATGCCAATCCAAACTGGTGAAGGGGCAGGGCCCGGCAGCCCCCCCACAGAACCAGCATTGTGTGCTGAGAACCCAGCGGCTCCCGGGGAAGGAGACCTCGGGACAGCCCAGTCTGAGGAAGGAGACACAGCCCTTGCTTGCCCTTAGAGCCCCAGTCTCATTGAAGAGACAGTCTCTGCCCTTTGGAAACCCCCAGCCTGAGAGGGAAGAGAGGACTCACATCTGAATTACTGAAGCTATGAATAAATATCAGAAAAGTGCAGTTCATGTGTATTCGTTTCCTGGGGCTGCAGTAACACATTGTCACAAACCTCTTGGTTAAAAACAACTGAACGTCTTCTCTCACAGTTCCGGATGCCGGAAGTCTAAAATTAAGGGGCCACACTCCGTGTGGAAGTGCTGAGGGGGATCCTGCCTTCCCCCTTCCAGTCTCTGTCCGCTGCTTGCACTCCTTGGTTTATGGCAACGCAACTCCAGTCTCTGCCCTGTCTTCACATAGCCATCATCTGTCTGTGTCTGTGTGTCCTTTTCTATCTAAGGACACTCATTGGATTTAGTGCCCACCCTCGGCTTCCATGGTGGCTCAGGTTAAGAGTCTGCCTGCAATGCAGGAGACCCGAGTTTGATCCCTGGGTCAGGAAGATCCTCTGGAGAAGGAAATGGTAACCCACTACAGTATGTTTGCCTGAAGAATTCCATGGGCAGAGGAGCCTGGTGGACTCTAGTCCATGGGGCCGCAAAACAGTCAGATGTGACTGAGCAACTAACACTCCCACTAATCCAGTATGATCTTCTCTCAGCTCTTACATGTGCAAAGAGCTTATTTCCAAATCAGTTCACATTCTGGGGTTCCAGGGGCACACAAAGTTCAGGGGGACACTATTCCACCCACTACACGTGTGACAGACCCGGAACTCTCCATGTTGCAGAGGCAGTGGTGAAAACTTGTCGGAGAGATGGTTGTGATAAGATGTGGGCAGGGCCAATCTGGAAGGCTTCTGGGAGCAGCTTTAACTCAACATATAAAGGTGCCAGGCAGTGAGCAGCAGGGAAGTACCGAATTCTCAGGTCTCTGATCCATGCTTCCCATCACCCAGTTTCTCTGACTCCTTCACAAATAGACAGCTGCTCTGGGACAGAGCTCTTTTATGACTTTTTATTTTGAGATTGTCTTGAATTTTCATTAAAAGTTGCAAAAATTGTACAGAATCTACAGAATGCTGGGTGACCCCTTCACCCAGCTTCCCCTAATACAAACAGATCACATAAACATTATACAGTGATCAAAACCAGTACATTAACACTGACCCAATAGTGTTAATTATCCATGGACTTTTCTTGAATTTCACCAGTTTCTCCAGCAATGACCCTTTTTTGTTGCAGGATCCAGTCCAGGCTTCTGCTCACTAGTTGTCATGTGTCCTGCAGCCTGTGACAGCCCCTTCTGTCGTTCTTTGTCTTTTAAGACCTTAACACTTTTAAAGAGTACTTGTCAGTTATTTTTATAAAATATCCCTCAGTTTGGGTTTTTCTGATAATTTCTCAACATTAGATTGAGGCAATGCATTTTGACAAGACCACAGATGTGTCATTATGACCTTCTCAGTGCATGATCTCAGGCATCCAAGACGTGAACTGATGTGTCTTAGGACTGATGACATTAACCTTGCTCACTGGCTAAAGTGGGTTTGCTAGGCTTCTCCACTGTAGTATTGTTTTTCTCACTGAAACTAATAAATACTTTGAGGAAGATACTTTGAGATATGCAATTTTTCCTGTTTCTTTTTAAACTTTCACCCACTGGTTTTTTACTCCATCAGCAGAGGGAAAGAGCTTTTGACACCCACTGGCTCAAAAGCCCCATTTATCCAGACTTGAGGGACTGTGGCTTTTAGGAGACATTTGGAGGGTTGTCCAGGCCCAAGAAAGAACTCTTTCCTCCTCTCTTGTCTAGCCCATAGCTAACCTGGGCCCCCTCAAACCCTCTGTGCCCTAAGGTATTCCCATGCCTCTTCCTTTGAAGAGATACCAAGTCTTTCTCTAATCATTGGTGTCTAGAGGCTTTTCTTAGCCTCCCCTCCCTGCCCCACACTAGCCATGGGGGAAAGATAGGGACAGTCAGGGTCCTCCTCATGTCCCAGGTAGGAAGTCTGAGGTCCAGAGAAGCTCACAGTCAAGTGATCAGTTGGAGCCCTCCTTGTGAGTCTCAGATCACCTCCCACCCCGAGGGTCTGCCCAGAGCTGGGCTTCTCCTCTCCTCCTGGCAGAATCCAGGTCACCTGCCCTTCCTTCCCCATCTCTCCACACCCTCCCCTGCCCACGCTCCTTCATTTTGCCCACCCCCTCTCCTCACCAAGTCCCAGCTAAACTGTGTACAACAAGGGTTATGTCTGCTAGAGCTGAGGGCTGTCACTTCTAGG